GAGAAGACCAAGACAAGCAGCTGCACCTTCCTGTCAGTCCTGGTACATTTTAATGTCATCATTCCTAATCTCACGGATGAGGTAAAGCCCTTTGATGTTTTTTCTCCACTCAAGCACCATTCCTCTTGCATCGCCTCTCAGTATCTCTCTCCTCCTGTGTGTTTAAGGCTGTGCAGTTGCGTAAAGCGCTGGACATCATCCTGCAGTGGTGCTTCAACCATAACTTCAGCGTGCGCCTGTATGCCTTACTGGCCCTGAAGAGGGTATGGAGCTTGGCAGAAGCCCGGGCAAAGGAAGGGGCAGATGGTTTGGGAGGGCTGTCAACTGTGATCAAGGCCTGTCTGAACCAGGCTGAGGCCATGCAGAGCACCGGGTGAGAGCAGAACAGCTACAACAATTGTGTTTTTTTTGTAGTATCCTAATGTATGTATTTGACTTTGTATTTGCTGTTTCACCATTTAGAAATGCCAACAAGAACTGGATGAGGATTCAGGAGCACTTCTTCTTTGGTGCCTTTCATCCCATCAGGGATTACAGTGCTGAGGTGTGCTAGGAAGTTTCTGGTCAACAGATAAAGCCTGCCAAAATACAGTAAAAGTGTACTAATATTTGTTTTCTTTCTTTCTTTTGCTTTCCTAGACCATATTCTATACTTTTCCTAGTCTGTCAGAGTTGGCTGATGATGAGTGGATTCCACCCTGGAAGTTTGAGAAACTGTCATATTTCTCTGTCAGTCCGTCTTTTCCACTGAGAAATACTGCTCCTGACCTGAGCCAGCTCCAGCCTGGAGACTGGATCCAGCAAGACAAAGGTACAGTAGCACCTCTCAGAAGCAGTGGGGGACTATTTGACCTACTTTACCTCATCTCTGATTGAGTGGTCATGATGTCATATCTCCCAGGTGAGCAGAATAAGGAGGACCGCTGGGCCGAAGTTCAGAAGAAAATCACTCCCTGGAGGTTGGGGATCCAGGAGCAGGAGCCTGAACTTCAGCTTGTTCCACAACAGAGGGCTGCTCGACTGGGCAGGCTGCACGGCGCCCTGCTGGTGGTAGCCTCGCTTATTGACAAGCCCACCAATTTAGGAGGTCAGGAGCAGCAGAAAAAGTTACATTACTTCACATTTTTAGTGTACTTCTTAATCAGGAAATAATTAAAATAAAATGTGGAGATCTCCATGTTGTATGAACATTAAAGGCTTTTGTTTGTCTTCACAATGATGATCTAGGGAACGAGGTCAAACACAGCTGCCACTAAAACCAATCACTTGAGCCCTCTTATCAGAGTTTAGACAGGGAATGCCCAGCTTTCACCATAGACACTCCTATTTTATGTTCTCTGTAAGTGTACTCCGACGCTTTGGCTCAGATGATAAGGGGCTGAATCAATCAGAATTTGTTTATAAAGGAAAATACCCATTTTCAAAACCAATATTGAAACTGGATGATGTAAGCAAGAACATTAGCCATTCTGTAAATGTTTTACTTGAAATCACCCTCTCAATTGCCATTACTGGTGTAGCTTTTTATATCTGTCTGTGGTCATGATGATAGACTGCCAGCCATTTTGTGTTGAGTCATGACAGCCACAGATAAAAAGCTGCTCCTTTTTAGATGTCATGGAGCATCTGGCAATTCAAAGATCACATTTAGACCGATGTTACTTTGTGCTCGTTTGTTGTTGTTGTTCTAGGTCTGTGCAGGACCTGTGAAATCTTTGGTGCCAGCGCTCTGGTTCTGGACAGCCTCCGCCATGTCAGTGACAAACACTTTCAGTCCTTGAGTGTCTCGTCTGAGCTGTGGCTTCCTCTGTTAGAGGTAAGAAAAACCTGATTTCACTTCAGTGATCAGGAGCTTTTCCCAATGGGCAAAGTCATGGTTTTAGTAACTAACTGAATTCTCTTTTTCTAAAGCAGTGATTCTCAAACTTTTTCTGGCGTGCCCCACTTTGGAAGCTCCATCATCCCACACATTTTTTTTTGTCAAACATTAACACTGATAGGAGAATCAACTAATAAAAAAGAATTCAAGTTGCATTTTTGTGAAATAAAGGTCAGCATGATAGCATTGTTTAACTCCATGTTTTCCCCTCCACCTTTAAACCAAAACCCAAGGTTCAAAGATTAATCTAAATCTTTAAACTCTAGGCAAAAAATTACAGGAAAGTTGGAGGAACTTCATTTTTGCCCTTTCAAACCTGCTGATACCTGGTGTCTCACTATATGGAGCAGAAAAATTGAACATTTCTGCTTTTGATTATATTACAGTGTGACAGCATGTAGCAGATTTCCACATAGGAAGCATTACGGCATACCATAATATTCTCCTGTGTGAAGAGGTTCTTACTGTCCACCCTTTTGAATGTATGTTTTAATGATTGTTTGAAATTAAAAGTTAATTTACACCATCTCTAAGATTATAAACTGTCCATCAGGTGAAGCCAATGGAGCTCACTGACTTCCTGCAGCTAAAGAAAAGTGAAGGCTACTGCATTGTTGGAGTGGAGCAGACGGCCAACAGTCAGAGCCTCAAGGACTACAAGTTCCCTGAGAAGAGCCTTCTCCTTCTGGGGTATGCCAGCATCAAATGCTTTGTATTTACAGTCAGGTTAAATCAAAGCCCAAAAAAGGCTCCAAGTCCCTTTTTTTCCATCAATGTGATAACCTGTTTTCCCTCGTGACTCACATAGAAAAAGGTGTGAGCTGACGAGGCTATTTAATGTTATTTCACTGGTTTAGTGTGTTTCCCTGTGGGGCCTGCGCCTCTCCTCTCCATGGTGTAACATTACCTGTCGGGACATGCTGGGTTGTAATTGGCTCTCCCTGAGGAGGCGCCCACAGGAAATAAATTACACAAGCCAATACACACAGTGTGATGACAACAGCAGGAAAAACATAAGCACTGTCTAGTGTAGTTTTGGTCGTGATGTTGCCCTGTGGCTTCTGTCAGCTGGGTCAACAAAAATCTATTTTATTAAACCATTTGTAGCTAGTCATTATAAGCTTTTTGTGCATCAATAGTTGTATGAATCACTTTCCTCGCTGAATGCGCACTGCAGTTGTGAGGCTGACCTGGCAGAGAGGGAGATTAATATTTATCACGTCTGTGTAGGTGTCCTGTTTTGTTTTACCCTGTTCAGTCACAGAGGTATGAGCAACGCTGTCAACTTAAACACCCTGTGTGTGTGTGTGTGTATGTGTGAGCTGAATCTTGAGTGCTTTCACAGCTGCACTCTCCACAGCACGGCCTGGCTCAAATCTCTCATCAGGTCGCTATTATCTCACCCAGTTGCACGCAGGATAAGTGTAGCTGATCAAACCCCACTTTCTTACTGTGAGGCGCCCTCTGTGGACTCACTGAATGCCAAACTCATTATCTCATTATGTTTGCTTTTCATGGCTCATATTGCTGGATCTCAGTATATACTCAGTTGATTACAGTTTGAATTACTCTTGGGCTTTAACTCACGAGTCATCTGTGTAAAAAGCTTATTTCTCATAATTGTAAGGACTTTTAGAAAACAAAGGATTAACTTGGCTGCTCATGTTAAGGATTCTCAAATTAAATCATGTGGGTTGCATCATTAAGCCAAATGAAAGCAGAAATTAAAAAAGATCCAGTTGATTGTGGTGTATATACTGTAGAGCTAGAGCCAGCGCAAAGGCTGGACATAGGTGGAAATGGCTAGCTCTGTTCAAAGTACGCCTATCAGCACCTCTAAGGATCTCTAATTAACACGTTATATCTTGTTTATTTAATCCGTACAAACACAAAAGTGTAAAAACAAAGGTTTTACTGCAAAGCTAAGCCAAGCTAAGCCAAGCTAACCAGCTGCTGGCTGTAGGTCTACATTTATTGCAGGCTACATGACGGTGTTATCAAGCTTCTCATTAAAATATCAGCAAGAAAACCAATGAGCTTATTCCTTTAAAAACACTGAATTTTAGCACTAACTAACTCAGTGGCTTCATGACATGACTTATAAAACCTTTAAAAAACAGTATTCCAGACATTAAAGCATACTTGATGCTAAATTGTACTGTCACTCTACAGTATATCTTTTTCTCTTTCCCCCTCTTATAGCAATGAACGAGAAGGTATTCCTGCCAATTTGCTTCAAATGCTTGATGTGTGTGTGGAGATCCCTCAACAAGGGGTCATCCGGTCACTCAACGTGCACGTGAGCGCTGCCCTGCTGATCTGGGAATACACACGGCAACATCTCACCTCTGGCTCAACTGAAGTCAACTCAAAACACAGCTGAAGAAGAAACCAGCAGCACGGCCCCATGGGCAGCGACTATACACGAGGATGCTCCATACAGTTAACGCCTGGACCTCGAAGAATTTTCAGATTCTGTCTCTGTCCTATCAGCACGTCCTATTACGTGGTCAGCAGCCATCAGTGCTGTTCTTGTGCCTTAATGAGAGTCATGAATAGAGATCGGCTGTGGTTATTAAATCTCAATATTCCAGTGGGCATGCTGTTATTAATGGAGGCAATCTCAGAAGCATAAATGGAAATGTTCCCCTACGAGGTGGAAGTGTCTTGTTTATGTGAGCCATTAGTTTTTGCCTGAGAGCTCCAGGACTGGACTATAATGTCCATACCCAGGACACAAGAACATAATAATATATAAACACAGATTGATAAGCATCATTTTCTGGGTTTCCAATGTTTTTATTGCAGTTTGTGATTTTAAACTCTTTTTTTGTTACAGTTGAATAAATAAAACTTTGACATTATTATCCATTTCTTTCTTTCTTTCATTTCTTTTTTTTATGTATTGTGGTTTGACATTACATCAACACAAGCAGTAGTACTGAAGGGGTTAAGTCAGGTACAGTAGGTGTTCATCCATCCTCCCTCCCGTTAAAAGAGTAAAGCAGTCAGTTCACCTGGAGACAGAGGGGGAGCAGACGGAGTACATCTCATCATTTTCTTTTTCCACTCCAGTCACGCGTGTACGTGGCTGATGATGTGAGGGTTGTTTGAGTGGGACATGGATGACCTGGGGGGCTCCTGGTCGTCTCTGCAGGCGGCAGCACCGGCCAACGCGAGCCGGACGGAGGGCGCGGGGCTCGGTCTGTCCGGGCAGGCCCAGCTGGTCCTGGAGATCCTCATGGTGCTGATGTGTTTGGGCGCTGTGACAGGTACACTATTACCTTTTTACTGTCAAGAAGTATCAAGAAAACGTCTAACTTTCTAATTCCTAAAATCGTATACTAATTTAAACACAATGTCACTCTGAAATGATTTGATAAAAAGCTTATAACCACACTGTTAATTAAAACGTGTAAATTATTCATTATATTTCCTTGTTTGAGCTCCTCAGTGATATCACACATGATTAACATACAGTAGTATTAACGTATTCCTTTATGGTTGCACAAATGAATGGTTTTAATCGTACTTAATAAATAATTTACAAATTCTGAATAGATCAGTCATTAATTATTTAGATTTTTTTATTAAAGGCTTATTCATTATTTGAATTTTTTTAATTGAAAGTTAGACCCATTTCACTTTATTAATAACTTACTTACTGCAGACTTGATGGGTCTGGGAGTCAGAAACTCATGACCTTTCATTATCGACTTTGTTCAAATTTGTGTCTGCCAAACTGAAGGCTCGTTAAAGAGTTAGATCGATTAACCTTTATTAATTAGAAAAAATACCAGGCTGAATAAGTAATAGGGGACAGCTGTTGAATTTATTCTTCAATGCTTTGAGAACCACTTCACCTCTATCGTGTTTTGGTGGTGGCAGAAATATTAGATTTCAGTAACAAATGAATCCATAAGTATCTGCATTGTACCTTGGATAAACTGAGTCTTTACAGTTAGTTAGATTTATTGAACAAAACTTACTTGCCTGACTGTATAGTACAACATCAACATGTCAAAATTCAGAACTATTTAGCTCACATTCAGACTGTCCACAATTTTCTGAATTCCATTACTAAGTCACAGGTTTGTTGCTGTGTGGATTGTTTCTATTGCTGGGTTCCTGGTGGAAAGGTTGTGGTCAGTCTGACCTCTCTGTCATTGTGTGTATTTCTGTGTAGGTAATATTCTTGTCATTGTTATTGTGGCTGCCAACAAGACTTTCCACTCGGTGACGTCAGTGCTGATCATGAACCTGGCCATCAGTGACCTCCTGGTGGGCGTCGGAGTGATGCCCTTTGTTGCTTTATCCATCATGAACCGTGGATGGGTGGATTGCACTGTACGTCACCTCTGACCACTACTATAAATAATCACAGCATGAGTGTCTGAGATGAACTGAAGCTGACCTCTTATGTCATAACACCTATTCTTCTTTGATTAAGTGTGCATGTGATGACATTCTGTGTCTCTCCTGTCTGGCAGGACCTCTGTCTGTACGTGGGTTACACCTCCTCTGTGTACTGTACAGCTTCTGTGCTGACATTAGCTGCTATTGCTCTCGACCGCTACCACTCCATCATTGACTGCCTGCGTTACAGCGCCCGTTGCACCCTGTGGAGGACCTGTGCTGTGGTCCTGTGGATCTGGCTGCAGGCTCTGGCCACCAGTTGCCCTCCCCTGCTGGGCTGGAGCTCAGTCAGCTATGTTGGTCCCATGTACAGCTGTGCAGTCAACTGGGCCAGCAGTCCCAGCTACACAGCGTTCATGGCTGCCCTCTCCTACCTCATACCGGCAGTGGTCATCCTCTTCTGCTACGTGAACATCGTCAAGGTGGCCCGCAGCCATGCCAGAAGGATTCATACATTGGAGGACTCTGTCCAGCGCAGCAGGAATTCAAGCTCTGCCTTCACTCCTGGTGATTCATCTCACCAGCACTATGAGAGCCTCCATGGCCCCTCGAGACTGATATATCATGTAAGTGGACAGTTTGTGTCTGAGGTCAGTAGAGAAGAAGGGAATTATATCAGCCCTGCTCTCCCTGATTCCACCACAGAGCAGAATAACTCATCATCCAGACGTTTGTTCTCCTTCCTGGCTCACAGTGCCTCCCAGCCACCCATGCAGAGCTCCCAGCAGCACCACAGCCACCATGGAGTGGTGCGTCTCTTCCTGGTCATCTCAGCCTTCTTCCTCTGCTGGACACCTTACATAGGTGTGGCCCTGGTTCAGGCCACAGAAACTGCAATCTCAGGCCAATCCAGCCTCGTCCCACCCTCTGCTGTTACCTTTTCATACTGGCTGGTGTTGTTGAACTCTGACATCAATCCACTACTGTATGCTCTGCTTAGCAAGCGTTTCCAGGGCGCTCTACAGGGACTGAGGCAGAAAATAAGAGCGCGCCTGGGGAGTGTGGTGGGCAGGGGAGGGGAGGTCAGAGCAGGGGGAGACGATGGCAGAAGCAGCGACCCCTACACTCTGACCATCACTCATCCTGGTCCGCCTTCCAGCTCTGAGACTTCAACCTGTGATGATGCCAAGTGTTCCTCCTCTATTTTTACTGTTAGCGCTGACTTCAAACACAATTCAGAGGATCTATGCAAAGTGTGTCGCCATGAAAATACCTCCCCGTCCTCCTCTGTGTGGCAAGATGCTGCTGTTGGGGATAGGAGGGTGGACTGCCTGCATGTCCCCTCTCGGCCACAAGGGGGCAGCAGACTACCTTTCTCTGCTCTGACCAAGGAGCGCCAGGCCACTTTCTTCTACGGCCAGGTAACAGTGAGAGTAGAGCATGATGTTTGTTAACTTTCTGCTGATGCTGTTGCAGAAACGTTATCATCTGTGGTATTCAGAGAAGGACTACAACTAACAATTATGTTGATTACCGAATAATCTGTTGATTATTTTCTGTCACAAAATTATAAAAAACAAAATGTCCACAATTCCAATGCCAGAGTTGGCATAATCATTGTGTTTGTTTTGCCAAATATATTTACAGAAATATCATAGAAGACCTTTTTTCGTAATAGAAATTACTAAAATGATGAATTGTGTTGTCCATGTCATATGAGATCAAAAAAAGATGCAAATCCTCACATGGGAGCAGCTGAGACCAGAAAATGTTTACATTTTTGCTTGAAATTTGACTAAAATGATTAAAAGGTTATCAAAATAACTGCAGATTAATTTTATATTGATGGATTAGTTGACTAATTGTTTCATCTCTTGCTGAACCAGAGATCCCTACATTTATTTCCTTTTTGTCATGTTGCCTGTGGCCCTTTTCAGTGTTCAGTAATTGTGAAGCACAAAACTATAACACTGAGTAAAAAAAACAAACCTGGACAAAGAAATGTATTGAAAAGAAATCTTTTATATAGTACATGTGATTACACTTGAAGACACCCAACAATAGATCTAATAAACCCTTCATTTAATCACACTCTAAATATTTCTTCCTCAAATGTGATAATCATATGTTGCATCTCAGTGTAAAAATCATCATTCCTTACAAAGGTTTACATTTATGTCTAGCAATAATTCCAGAGGAATACAATATTATTATTTATTGTCATAGAGAATGACAATGGGAAACAGTGCTATTGTACTCTATTGCAAAAAAAAGAAAAGGCAGTGAAGTGGACTTGCTGTATCTGCTCATACAGTATGTGCATGCTCGTCCTGCAGATGTCACTCACTGTCCCCTCAAGGTTAGTAAGCAACCAAATGCAAAAAATATAAAAAGTCCTGTACGCTGCGTCAAGAGTTTGTTCCAAAAAAATGCAACTCGGTCAGATGAGTACAAGAAGGATAGTATTAAATAGTCTCTCTGCAGCAGTCTGTGGTGACACTGTAAAAAACAGATAGCACATAGCGAGCATGTGTGGTCGAGTGATGTTCATACATTCACAACAAGGCAGAGTTTTTGCTCTCAGGTTCATCTCGGTTGTTAACTTGCCTCAGAAATGTGATTCATGAAAACAGACGCAGTAAGAACTTTTTTTTTTGACAAAGAGCAGAGGTGGACAAATGGGAGCCATTCTCATGTGTCAACACACCTCTCCTCACGCCACAGGGAGACAGTTTCCGTCTACTGGCTGTTTTTTTTAATTTAGCTGATAATTGTCGCAGATTAGTTTGTGTGCATACGAGTCTGGAAAGGTAAGTGTGATAGGAATTAGAAGGGAGGCTTGGTGATAGCAATGGTTGATGTTCAAAGTTATTAAAGGGGTAGTTCCAAGTTTTCATGAAGCCTGTCTGTCTTATTATAAGCTGTTAGTGCTTTTAGTCCATCCAAAGATTGGGATACCTGAAGCATTGATTGTGAAAGTAGGCTACGTAATGAGTTAGTTTAGTTTGACAGTTGATAGACACATTTAGTACTTTTTTTGAATCACAATATATATAAATATATGTATTACCTGTATTGCTTAGTTATTAAAAATGTTTACTATACCGTTTGCTGCCAGGCAATAGAAGATGTGAGGCAAGTTCTTTACGGATGGACTGAAAGCACTCACACAAACAACAAATCGCAACCATCTCATGCATTGAAAGCAACAGAGATACTGGTTTTAGATCTCTTGTGATTTAACTGTGGGCCTGAGCAATGGGTGTCCGCATTGACAGAGTGGGTTTAGCTCCAGGAAAGCACATAACCACAGGGGGCCAATCGTCAAGAAAAGGACCTGACCTCTTCCCTCAGGATGAACAGTGTGAGGCTGTTGTGAAAGCTTCTTCAGCTCAGATTGATCCTCATATGTCCAGACAGGTCTCCTCACACCAGATGAGCCCACTGGGTCCACAGCTTCAGGACATCCGAGGTGTGAAACACAGCTATGTACAGTGCATGAAAGGCAGGTATTTGTCATTAAGTGTACACCTGAGGGACGCCACAGGGGGGTTCCCTATTGTTTTCAGGCATTCAGCATTTTAGGCATTCTTCTTTGGATCTTAAAGGTGTGTACATGTGTACATGTTAAAGACAGGAAGTCCACAAGGTGTTAGGTCTGCCTCTAAAGAGTGTCTGTCTTTTTTCTCAGAGCTGAAAATATCAGGCAAGTTGGCAAGTCTTACCAGGTGCAAGGATGTAGTGAATGGAATGATTAAGAGGTACAGCAAAAATTAATACATCAGTTATACCTGATAATTTTTTGGGGTAAGAAGGATTAAAACTGATTAGTCCGTGCACCAACTCGAATAACATCTGAGTGGAATGGACGCCAAATGAATGATACACAGTCTGTGCCTCGTGCATCCCCCCATCAAATGTTACTGATCGGAGGACAGTCTGAAATACTTTTTTCACTCCCGAAGCTGCATGAAAGAGAGGGCAGGTCACATGTCCCAAAATCAACACTAGTAGGTGTCTCCCTCTTTGTGTCTGTGTTTGTTTGCATGGTGATAATTCATGGAGTTAGTGTGCAAAGGTTGACATGGAGGTCCTGGATCTCCCTCTCCAGTTGAGCCCTGTGGTGGCGCCTGCCTCCCCGCTGACCTCTGCTGGCTCGTCACGTTTGCGCAGCTTTGTGCTGAGCTGGATGATGCACTGGTCCCAGTCTTCTGGTAACAGCAGCATGAGGAAACCCAGGCAGATGATGAACACGGCAATGAGGCGCACTGTGTTGAAATGAATTTCACAAGTGTAGAGATCCACCACTGTAAAATTACGAGGGTGCATTAGTATGAGCATATGAAGTACAATAAATTAATGTTATGTTTATTTGTCACATAAATTCACAAATTGTCCAGAATGAAGGAAACTGAATTTGAAATTTAAATTTTCAAATGTACATGCAAAGTTTTTAGGTGATTTCAATGGCATCAAATATTAAATTGTGACCAAAAAAAAGTTAGTTAAAAAGTTAGGTCTGGGAGGGAAGCCAAGAGACTTACTGGCATTTACAGGAACACTTAGGACAATGCCAAGGGATATTAATGTTGGGTATGTTATCGCAATGCCAAAGTTCACCAGTACGTTGAAAGCTGTGGAAAGAAGCAAAATCAGAACAGCAGCAGATTACACAATGAGGGTGTCAAACCACAAAAACTTGCAAAACGATACTCATAGCTTACATAATCATTACAGTGTTGTGTTCAGTGCACAATATAACTTCATATGTCATCTTTCCATACCAAAAAGCAGGCCTGCAACCCCACAGAGGTAGGCCCAGGGGATGTCACCAGGTGAGCCAATGTACTCCACGTGTGTAAAATACAGGATGACCGGCACGAAGCTGATGAAAACAAAGTTGGCGCTTCCAACGATGCTGAGAAAGAGTGCAGCCTCTCCGAATTTGGCACTGCCCAGGACCATCTTGAAGAGCACCTGAGGATAAACAGGGAGGAGGGTTGTGAATTCACAAAATCTGCCCCCTTAAGGAGAAAAGGGATATTGCAAAGGGCACACTCGCCAAGCACCTGTCATGTCTCTGGCACAGGCTGTCTGTTTATCACATTAGGCAGCACAGACAGCAGGGCAGAGGAGACCAGAGCACCGTCAAAATATAGCTATCTATCCTATAACCTCCTTGATCAGGACATCACAGCCTGGGGCCAGCAACCAAACGCTCACATATCACACGCTTCTTGTCAGCTGAGTCTCACGTTTTATAATCTCCTCCTGTCTTCTGCCACCTGGTTACATAATTGGAAGGGAGCTAGTCCAGGATTTGTTATATAAGACAAGACTATTCATACATATGTTTAGCTATTTTTACATTTGTTCTTATGCTGCAAATTGAGATGTCACTACAGGGGAGGTTTATGGGAGTAAAAATGTTCTTTACAAATGATCGAATGCAAACGGATACCTTGTAGAGCGCTGACATTGAAGCAGAGGCTACCACAAACGTAATGCCGATGACTGAGTGGCTGTGGAATCCATCAGCGTAGGTCATCATTACAATGCCTGCTATGGCCAAGATAGCAGCTACGATCTGTAGAGAGAGAAAAAGGAACATCAGGGAGTGACGGATGGACGACAAGCAGCTCGCAGTGTGGTGATAAAGACGCACGAGCCTACACTGCTGTGCAGGGACACAGCAGGCACACATGGCCTCCAGTTAGTTATTCACTGCAGAAATCACAAGCCTCACAGGACAAGGCTTGTAATGGTATAATTAATATGTGGGTTTTATTTTATTGTCAGCATACTGCTCATTTGGTATCTACATTTTCTTACATACATACACATACACAAACAAAATCTGTTCTCAGTTTCACAGCGCAAGTGCTTCCAACATAGGACAGCTTCTACAGTGTTGGCTTGATTGTCTGACATTGATTTTCATTGCACTGCATGTTTACAAACCAAACCCCGTGCCCCGGTCCACCAACCCCCATACCCACTCCCACTCCATGCATCTGTGATTGTCACAGCTTCAAAAACGGGTCCAAACCATCTGTTTTATCTTGCTCGCAACTAAGCCGTCAAGAATAGAAACCCAAAGCTGTCACCTAAGCTTTATTTACAGCATTTACAGCACTTGTCTTTGCTGCATGTGGCCATAACTGTGCGTGCAAGTGCTTTGGGCTGAAGAATAGTGATAGGGACAGGGCGCAGTCCAGCTGAGTGGATTAGCTCTGCATTAAGGAAGTGTCAGGAAGATAAATGAGCCGTGTGTTTTTGCTTGGCCAAAGCCCTTGGGCACCTTTGGCAAAATGGTTCTTTCTGCACTGCAGGCTGCCTGTCAGTCACAGATACACCTTTCATTTCTCGTGACAGACTGTTTGCTTAGAAGGTCAGCGACCCTGCGTGTGTTGGTGTTTCAGTTTCTTTACGTGTTTCAGCACAATGTGATGGTCAGAGGGGGGAAAGGTTATGTGATTACAGCGTTATTACCGCAGTATGGGGATGTGGATTAACTACCTTTACAACTGATAAATCCAAACACAAATCACACATCAACCAAAAGGCTCTTCAAATTTAATTCATAAGCTTCTAACCAGTGGTCTGGCCCATTCTCACCAAACTGAGACAATAAAGCACAGCCATCTGTTTATGTACACAATATCACCAAAACAACCCACATCCCTGTTTAACAAGGATGATTTAGCATCCTCCATCTCTCTTTCTCCCTTCCTTCACTTTCATGACAAACCCGTCCAAGATCCCCTGCATTGCTGCAGACAACCAAACACTGCAATCCCCACCACCAAGCGAGTGAGAGAGACAGAGAGAGGGGGGAGAGAGAGAGAGAGAGAGAGAGAAAGAGAGAGCGAGAAGCAGGATTATTACAGTATTTCTCTCTTACTGAGGCCTTTCATCGCAGATAATGGGGGTGGGGAGCAGGGGCATGCACGAGGGAGTGGTGGTTGTGAGTGTGTGAGAGGAGCAAAAGGGGGAAATCCATTCTGCAGAGTGCAGGACGTCTGCTGATCTGAAAGCATCTGAGGATGTGCATTGGGAGGAGAGCAGAAGAACCCCTTGTTCTTCTGTTCTCCTCGCGCGGACAAAATCAGTGACAAACATTCTAGCGCACACATGTCAGACACACACCAGGAGGCACATTTGAATGACAAGGTGATCACTCGTGGGAAATCACACTGTCACACAGGTAACATGCTCACTACTCGACCGTGCTGTGTAGTTAACACATTCAACATTATTTTCAGTCTTTTGGGAACAAACAC